TCCATCACATTTACTTGCTATATTCTTGGGACGTGAAAATATTTTCCATTTTCCACTTCTTGCGGTATGCCATAACTACTAACATTGCATTGAATTCCCGTGGATAATATGTAAAAGCACACTAGTTGTATCATTAAGTTCGAGAGAATTGTAAGAATCATCCTCATTAGGTTCTATGACGACTTACTTCTTCATCTAAATTTATCAATCGTTTCTTGTTCAAAGATTCATTTTTGTTTTTATTGTTTTCTTTTATTTTTTTTTTTTTTTTTTATGAGGAACATAAGGAATTATTTCCAGTTCGGAAATTTTATCATGTTATTCCAGCTCTTTCGAAAAAAGTTTATACTTCTTTTTAAATGATTCTGGAACTTCCTTTCAGATATCGGTGTTTTGAAAAAAATTGTCCAGTTGCTTTGCGATCTTACATTTTTTTTTTAGATCATCTTGGAAAAGGAAGAACTTTTTTCTTTGTGTTTACCGGCAAAAGGCAGCGATATACATTGATGTCCCAGAGATTTGCTGTCTCAACTATATGTCCCAGCTATACGTCCAAAAATGTCCTTGTTAAGTGCAAGCAAAAGAGTGCTGCTATCTTGCAAGCAGTTGATAAATTATTGTTTGGAGAGGCGTATCGGAACTGTTTTCGAAGCTTGCATACACTTTAAGTTCTGGGGTTATATTTTCATATTCACCGTGTTTTCGTAGTTAAAGAAGTTAACGGCAACTCGTGTATTAGTTCTCTTTTGACTTCTTTTATTAGACCATCCCACTCAAAACCGCTCGGTACTGGTGTTGTTTGACCCAAATGTTGTTAGGCATGATAAGTGTAAGTATTGTTAGAAAAAGAGGAATAAAATTTTGCTTGAGAAAGTAGAGAAAATTTTTTTATGTGATGAAAAATACATCTGCCATATTATATAAAAGATTGTTGCACAAGAGATACAGTAAATCACTGCCCCCATGAATGCCCATGATATTATTTTCATGTGGACAAGATTTTTTAACGACAGTCCGTGCCGTATTAGATTTTTACGCAGAAAAAAAAATTAAATAAAGAAACAAGCGTAACGCCTTACACTGGTTAAAAATCACGGGGGAAATTTTCGGTAACTTTTCAACATTTGAGTAAAATTTGGCGCAGTAAAGCTTTTAAAATTTTTACTATTATATAACCACGCTCAACCTCGAAATAGTCGATGCAGAAAAAAGACAAAACAATTTATCTTCTTCGCCTCCAATCCCAATAAAGAGTTTGAGAATCTTTATTGCTTTTTTCTGAGTTTAGCCTCCGTAATTTAATCCTGATCCGGAAAGTACTCATGAATTTTATCATTAAATAGACCATACGCTTTTTACAGTGATCAAACCATAACCTTTTCCGAAATAATAGTGGCTATTGATCAATTCCAGAATGGTTTATTGATTATCAGCTATGATCCTGTCGTATAGTTCACCGCGGATAATTCCTTCTTCTGGATGCAGATGAGTTGGTAAGTATCTTCGTTAGTCCGTTTTTTACTACTAAACTCCGTCATATAAGCATCTATTTCTTCATTTGATGGGCATATAGGACACAGCCTTTGGGATTATCGATGCACTTGTAATGCACATACAGTGGCGGTCAAAAGAATTGCATCACCTGAATGCAAATCTTAAAATTGCAATTTCTTGAGATTAAGAAATCGCAGTGTTACAAAACTTATTCTTATTTAAGTCAATTCACTTACCTTTTTTATCAATATTATTTTTTATCAACCAAAATGTATATTTCGATCTTTCTTAATACGATCTATATAAAATTAAATCTAATGACTTTGTAAATCATTTTTTTTTTCTAGAACAAATTTTCAACGTTGATACTATACAAAAGATTGGTTAAATAATTTAATTAAATGGATAATTATAGATGATTAATTCTTTGTTATTGTAAATCTATTTTTTAAGCAATAATAAAAACTTAATTTTTGAAACTAAAATTTAGAATGTTAAATTGCTAAACCGGCAGCTTAAGCTCGGCTCAATACAGCTTTAAGCTTAAGCTTTTTTTGAGAAAATAAGCTTCTGAGCGATTGAGCTTACTATATTAGTTAAACACAGATGTATTATATAGTTAGACTTGATTTACTTAAGCGGCTTAGTGTAAGCTTTATGAAGGAAAATATGTTAAATCAATTTCTATTTAAAATAATTAAAAAAGGTTATAATATGTTATCCCGAAGGCCATTTTCCCGAATGGACGTTTTCCCGAAAAGTTTGACCTACATTATGATAACTCTGCTCGAAGTTGTCGGGAAAACGTCCATTTGGGAAAACGGCCTTCGGTACGGTGCTGACTGATCGCTTTTAAGGTATAAATCTCTCTCAAAGCTTTCTTAAATAGTTTTTAACTTTCCAATATTCCAAATTCTTGGTAAAGGGAAATGCTACCCAAACTGCCGATAACCGGTAATTTTTAACATGATGACTTGCTTTTACATTAGCCCTTAGTGTCGTTTTTGCGGGGATTATTATGAATATTTTAAATTTTGGCGAGAAAAAGTATGGGAAATTTTTTAAATTATCCCTCATTTACATTTGTTCTGAAAAAATAAATGAGTGTGAAGTTAATCATAATGATCCTTGTAGGACAATGTACAATGATTAAATACAAAGTTTATTATTGGTGTGTCCGTTTGTTTATTTTAAACAAATATCATTTGACCATAAATGCAGATGAGCAAAGACACAACTTTAATAAGAATTCCTTTTTAAAGTTTACAAAGAAATCAGCATGTTAGAAAAAAAGTCGGGCTGTATATATATATTCTATGAAATTTCCCATACGAGATTTAATAATGAATGATAATTGATCAAAATTACTAGGGTTCATATTTTATTTAATACTCATTATTTGGAAATACATTTTCTCTTTGTATGTATTGTCATGCGTAAATTAAAATACTGTACATTTAATGAATTTCCTTCGTGAGTGGGGGAATCGTAGAACAGTAGAGAAAGAGTCCATTATCATTATATTTTCTTAGATATAAGACTTGTAGAATGTTTTTTTTTTTTATTTAACAAAAGGTAAAAAAGCTTTTTAAGGGAATAAGATACAAAAATGATTTATGCTAAGCCAAAAAATGAAATATTGATAAGCGAAATGAAAATTTTGCTCTAAAATAGTTCACGTCAGCCATTTATTGTTAGTAAACAGAAGAAACCAACTAATATCAAAGCACACCTTCTACCTAAATAGTCTTTCAAACAATACATACCTGGAAAAAACAATAATTCCATATCATGGCATGGAAAAACAATAATTCAAGAAGGAACCACCTTATTCCGATTAAAAAAAAATGTTGACTATGTTTACAAAAAATGAAAAAAAAAATTGGACGAACGAATTCAACTTTGAATTATTTGGTAATCATCATCATCTAAATTTGGCGTATACACGAGTGGCCAATTCAATATATCATGAGATGAGCCATACCAGTCCAATTGATTTATGATGGGAACGGGAGTTTGAATTGTAATTCTGGAAAGATCGTAATGTCCATAACCTTTAAAATGCCAAAATAATTAAAAAGACAAAAAAAAAGCAGATGGGCAGCATTATCTATTATGCAATAATAGCTCTAATTTGAATTAATGCAAACAATCGAGTAAAAGAAAAAATATTATATTGGCATCATACCTAAATTGAATAAATTTTCATTTTCTCCCATAGTATTTGATAGGTAAGGACTCAAACCAAAAGAAGGATTTTGAATTATTTCAGGATGAGGAGTCGGGATATGATCTTGTGCAACTGCTTCTGTTGTCCTTTCTTGAGGAAAACATGGAACAAAATTAAGGGCTTTAGGCAATAACTCTTTATAACCAATGAAAAGCTTTTCATATTCATCTTTGACCTCTTTTGAAGAAATCTGCCAGAGAAATGCATAGTCCTTAAAAGATCCAGAGTTTTGACGAAACTTTTTTTTTTCCATTGCAATCTTGAACGCTTCACTACAATCAATTTTAAAAATCATAAAACTATTTTTTAAACTTTTATAATTACGTTCTTTGCCAAGCTTAACGATTTCATCTGGATAAGAAATCTTGACATTAAAATATGTATGAGTGTCGATAGCAAGCGCGAGAACATGTAGCCTATTTGAAGGATCTTTTTTATGCAAAAATACGTTTACTTTTGATAGACTCATAATAATTGACCTAATAATGTTATCAAATAATTTTGAAAATTTTACAGATATAGGTCTATATATAGAATAAAAATAAACCTTATTTTTAAAATTAAGACGGTAGAAAATTTTTTGAAATTCTTAAGTGGTTGCTAATTTATATTATTAAACGATTCGAAAACTACTTTTGTATCCATTGAATAATTTCCAAATATAGGCATTACCTTTTTTGTTAAAATTAAGATGTAGAAAAATTTTTAAATGATTGTCAATTATTAGAACCATTTTTGTTATAAACAAGCTATTAGAAAACTTCTATTAAAGAATGGTTACTCTTGATGTTCCATTGTATAATTTCCTTATTTGTTAAAATTAAGTGTTGCCAAGTAATATTATTAATTGCGTTATCAACCATTTTTGTTAAAAACAAGCTATAAAGAACTTCTATTGCAAGGAATGACTTTTCATTAAATAATTGCCAAAAATAGGCATGACCTTATTTTGTTAAAATTAAGATGATAGTAAAATTTTGAATTTCTTAAATGATTGCCAATTAATAATCAATTTGCGTTATCTCTTTCAAGAATGATTACTTATGATTTTTCCATTGAATAGTTGCCAAAAATAGGCATGTTAAGCTCAATGAACAAACGATTTTATCTTTAGAAATAAAAGGAATATAGGCGCAATTTATGGATCCTTATTTGGTTGAAATATATATATATTTTTTTATCACTTTATCTTTTTTAATGTAAAAATTTCATATATTAACCCATCAAAAATTTCTCAAGTAGATATTTCTTATCGAACTTAATATTTTCAAATATTATGTCTTCTCTAACCCAGTGTTTCTTAGAAAATTCAATTATAAATCGAATAATTATTTTAAAACCGGATAATGAATTTTTGATGTGGGAACTTCCACCTACAGACATTAACTCCCATCAAGACACATTAGACCCATTAACACTTTTTAGAAAACATTACTTGAAAGCGAAGAATCGTGATACGTCGCTTTCATTATCATCCGATCCTGATGCAGAAATAATTGAAGCCTGGAGTTGTTCCGATAAGCAAGTTCATGAAGTATACGGAAAGTTTTGTTCACAAATGCTATTTCGATATCACAACCTTTTCGAACTCGAACATAAGCTTTTAAATAAGGTAAGCTACTTTTTATATTTTTCCCCAGCTTCTTTTCTCAATAACACTTGTAGGAATTACCAAAAATCCATATACAGTCAACCCTCTCTAAATGCACCCTCTCTAAATGCACGCTCTTGTTCAGTCCCAAGCATATAGAATTCATATAGAAAATTTCTCTTTAAATGCACACCCTCTCTTCAAACGCGCATTTTTAAAATTTTCACAATGGTCCCGAGGGGGTGCATTTAGAGAGGGTTGACTGTAACTCTAACTTCTATTCTTTAAACGTTCTGAATCTTATGAATTCTTTATAATTTTTAGATTAAATTAAGTAAATTTAATCGAAAAGGTGGAGAGATTTCGCGAAATCATTTAGGATTAGAATATAAAGAAGCGGCTTACAGGATCACTAGCGATGGAATTTGGGGCAATAAACGACTAATGAAAGTTTATAAGATTAAAATTACGGCAGTCGCCGACGGTAAAATGATAATTGAACTAGATGTTCGGTATGCCGACACATTAGTTCTTATTTTTGGGAAATATAAATCTAGGTTTCATGACGACAATTAAAAGTGTTTCAGAATTTCTTAGTTTTTGAAGTTTATTAATTTCAGTTATCACATGACAGTTGATGAAAGTGATAGTATTTATTGGTTCACGACTTATAAAACTTATAAAATGTTTCATTTCTCAGAATTTGAAATTTCTTAATTTATTTATAACATGACAGTTATCGAAAGGATAATTTCTAGGTTACATGACGACAATTATAAAGTGTTTCAAAATTTCTTATGATGACAATTATAAAGTGTTTCAGTATTTGTAATTGTAATAAGACGTTGAAATTTCTTAGTTTTAACTATTATATAACAGTTATAATTTTTTTTATAAAATAAAATTACAGAAATTATTTTTTTTTTTAATTATGAATAAAAATAAGTACAATTACAAAATTATTTTTGTTATGCTATGCTTTATAAATATCAAAGTTTCAATGTATCGAACTGAATTAACATTCGTAAATTTGTCTTTTTCTATAATATTTAGAAATGATTTTCTAAAAATGTTTTTTTCGCCGCAGTAGACTTCCTTTTTTTTTTTTTTTTTTTGATAATTAAATTTAATACTCAAAGATAATTTTTTTTTTTTATTGTTGGGATACTTTTTATAGTAAAAGGACAATCAAAACATTCAATTAAATTCATCCGATTAAGCACTTTTAATATAATAATATATATCACTAGGGAACGGTAACCGTTCTAGTCCGAAGCATAACAGGACAAAATTTTTTTTAATGTTCAATTTTTGTGAAACGCACATGACCAGCAACGCAGAATTCTATTGGTTGATCAATATGTAGGACAAGAACGACATTGCTTTGACGTAGAAATTGATTGTCCTCATGCTTCGGACAACAACTGAAAAAAAATAAAATATTATTGGTTCCAACCAATTAGCGAATTCAAAAATGAAAAATTGTTCATTATCACGTTTTCCGCGTTATTATACACTTGCAAAACTTCTGCATCGGTTGTGATGATTTAATAATTGAGTTGAAGACGACGTTACCAAGATAATCATCGTAAAATGTTCCAGTGCACTACACTAGTAAACTAGTTTTCCGACTCAGCTTTAGGAATTGTATGAGACGAACCGTCACATGCAACGCTATCAAAACATCAAATATAAAGGTTCTTCCTATTATAGGTCCCCTAAAGCCACTCGTATATTTAAACTGCAAGCATACAGTGGCGGTCAAAAGTATTGCATCACCCGAACACAAATTTTAAAATTGCAATTTTTTGACAATTAAGGCGGCGC